CGCTCTATTCATCGAGTCAACGCCTTTGACCTTATTCAATTTCCATCCGAAGAGACGCATCGCTAGTGGGTAAGGCTGGAAGGCTCAGAAAACACGGAAAGGATACATGAAGTAACAAAAAGCGTCAGCATGGAAGGCTCCTTAATCTCTTCCACAAAGATTTGTGTACGGTTTCGGTACGAGTTGTACGGTTACGAGTACGATAACGTGTCCGAGACTGGCGCCAAGGCCTAATGGATCATCTGTTGGAGTTTTTCGAGCATTATCTCTGTACCGTCACTCGAATCTGGTTGATGACATGGTTTCTGTATAGGATACCTAACGTAAAGGCTGATCACCTAGTCTTGGACTGGCAAAATTGGGTAATATGAGCCTTCTCCTGGGTTATGGGTTTGAAAACCTACATGCTCAACTTATCCAAGTTATGTAGGCTGCCAAAGAGCTGGAAATCATTCAAACGCTCTCAGGAAATTGAGGTGCGTGGGTGGTTTATTGGCCTTACCTACCAGTTAGCACGCTTGGGCAGTTTCCACCGCTTTCTTACTGAATTATAAAGTTCCACTTACTTACGCTTCACCTATTTGAAGCAGCTTCTTTCAGAACATTCAAAAACCCCCTCCTAAATTTCCTGACACTTCCTCAACGATCTCAACGCGGACCCGGGTTGTTTCCGGCGCAACGACTTCAGTATTTTGATGAAGTTTCCAGAAATAGCCACACGTCGACGGCTCCCTCTCCATCCCCGTCAGATGGTTATGTCATTTTGTTGGGTGAGAGCGATTTTTTTTTCGCGTGAGGGGATATATCAAGTACCTCCCGTGCGTCATGTCTCCACGAATACATAATCAGGCATCGACGACAAGGATGGCGACGACGACGACGAGTTGGTCGTCCGCCCACCCGCTGTTAGCACTCGCCTCACAAATTCACTTAGACATTCGTAACGTCGGTAAAACCCCCTCTGGGCGCTCGACTAACTCTGAGTACGTGATTAGAGAATGCAAGGTTCTAACAGAAAAGGGTATATCGTACCTTGAAAAGAACGCATTCTCACTAGGTTCACACGCAATGTATATGGAATTTACAGAAAAAAAGAACGCCTACGAACTTCATTTTGGACCATATGACATCGCTCATATCGCATTTCATGCACAATTCCAAAGACATCTATAGGTCGATCAGCGTGTATTGTTTGAAGAAGACGATCTATCGCTATGAATGTACCGGACCTTCCGACACCAGCACTGAATGAACCAGTTCGAATTTCATCGGAAAACTGGCTGAAGAAAGCCTTTCTCCTAGAGGATACTGGAGAGAGGTGTTTACCTGCAATGCACAATGGTCGGTTTGTTCAGGGCAGAATGCGGAAGTCTCGAACGGAACATCAGAGCGAATCTGAAAATAGTAGTGGGTTGAAGACTCAAGAGCGTTTTCCGCTTTCTAAGGATGAAAGAGAGCGACGTCGACAAATGAGAGTCGGTTCAGAGCAGGTCACTGAAAGACCGGAAGTCGGAAAACGGAATAATCGTCCGAACTCACCGAATGATTCCCTGTGGATGGTCTGGTACACCGAAATCTGGCCAAGCCATATAATGGAAGTGCCATATAATCCGAGGTGCCGTCGATTCGTGCAACTTCTTCAGACGAAGCTCACGGATCGTGAAATCGTCGAAGGATGATTCATTCAGCAATGTCACCTGCAATTTTTTTGATTAAAAAAAAGGCACGAGAATCCCTTTCAGGATCCACTTACCTCGATATCGGAGTAGACGACGCTTGAGTGTTCACTGTCTGGCCAATACTGATGACATTTATCTCGGCCTTTTTCCACGCACTTTGTCAACGCAATGATTGCCGGGCAGTACTGTTCCCATGCCATCTGAAAAAAAGTAGCTAAAGAGTTGCCAGAATCTAGGAATCGGACGAGGACGGTGGGGCCCCGGGTGAAATTTACAACAAAATCTGCATTTTCCTGACTGAACTCTCCATGAGTTCAATAAATGCCCCCCAGCAGCCGGGGTTCCAACGGGATCGCCTGTTTAGAGCCTGAAAGAATCGAAGCGATCCCGAACCGCCCCATGAAACCGGTGTGATACAGGAGTTTAATGAGATCAAAGTTTGCCACGTTTCTTTTAGACTCTGAAAAAGGACCAGTTTATTGAAGCCCGAACGAAGTGGGCCCTTTCCCAATTTTGTAAATAGCTTTGTCAACAGTGCTGCTCACTGACCTGCCAAAAGGCGTCTCTTGTTGTTGGTAAAGGTCCTTGGGCAGCGATGAATTCTCGTCGTGAAGAGTAGCCCTGAATAAGAACAATATGCAGACACCTCAAGTAATAAATCTATCAGAAATCTGGGAAAGTAATAGATACCGGCATGAAGTTGGCATTGATATAATCGGCGCCTTCTTGATCACCCGCTTGCATTAATCGAACACGGGAGTGGTCATATGGGAGGATATTTGTGAATCTGAAAACGGAGCAACGGTATTCGTTAGAGTACAAGAGGGTCTAGTCCCCTCCTTCACCCCCTGTATGGAGCAACGACGTTTCGGCTTCGGAACATACCTGTTCTTTGGTTTATTTACGGGCAATTCGGCAGCTGTGTATGATTGTCCGCAGCCAACATTTCGCAGAATCTACAAAAGCCCACGAATAAGTCTCTTATTGTCGTCAAAATGGTGTTCTAGAAGGATTCTGAAAATTACCTCATATTCTTCCGAAAAACGGAAATCGGAATCGGCAGACATCATACGAACATGTTCACCGAAGTCGGCAATCTTCACAGGACGGCTGGAAATTTCAACGTTTTAGTAGAGTTCGAAAAAAGGTCACTAGTCAGCCAGCGGATCCCAGTCAATTCATATCCCAAACTGGGAACCAACCAATATTCTGGCCAAGGAAGGTGTTCCTCCCAACTACTACCTTTAACTGATCCCTCGCCCCTTCCAATCCATCTGAATGATTTATGGATTTGGGTTTTAAGGTCTGTCCCTGATAGAAACTCAAGTTATCAGAGCTTTTTTTAGTTCTCGTAGGCCTTTGTCCTGGCCATCTCCTATACCGAAGAAGGCTTTGCTGTCAGGGAAGAGCTAAACCAATCATGCTGGGGACGTAAAAGGACGGATTAAACTATTTCAGTTGGTCATCGCTCGAGGATATTCAGGAAGTAAGAGGACAACACGGAAATAACCAAGCCGTTTGTCTGACCGTTTCGATGCATTACCTCTTGTTTGTGTTTACACCCGTGATAACCGTATACAGTGGAGTTTTGTTGATTGGTCCGCTGGGAAGACGCTCCAGACGATGATCAACACCAGTTCTCTCTCTCAAACTGCGACAACTGAAAAAGTCGATTTTTTATTTCAAAAATCAGTTGATAAATGGACATTTGACCATTTTTGAACT